CTTTCACCCCCCCCCCCCCCCCCCCCCCAACCACAAAAAAAATATAAAAAAATAGCTTTATACAAGTCATTCCCGAGGGGCTGCTGGGCTCTCGTAATCAAGAAATACATAAATTGTCGTCAATCGAAGAAGCTGAAACTTGAAAAATGCCGTTCCTAGGTTTGCACTCCTTGTCCAACTGTTAGTTGACCCCCACACCACCCCACCCCCTTGCTATAGGAATGGGATAGGCACTGAGATTTTCACTTTAATCTGTAAAATGATTACACCAAAAATGAAAGTTTTTGGTGGGAAATGCCCCATCCCACTAGCTGCTTAGATCAAAGTTGGCATAGAACCCGGGAAGGCTCTTTCTATTTGAATTTTCTAAAGCTTTTACACAAACATGCTTTGATACATTTGACAATGATCACTCTCTTGAATGCACATGATAAAGTGAAATGATGTTTTTTGGATCATGTGCTTTAATGATAAATGGTGGACTGAAAATGAATATTAACAAAAATAAAACAGAATTTGTGTAAAAACAGATGGAAGTGAGCATAATTGTATTAAGTTGTCTATTGGAGACTCCTTTCACAAGACAACGAGATCTGGATATAACATCAGTAGAGGGAGATTAGACCAAAAGATCAAGAATTTAGTACCTATATATGCAATAAATGATGCCTCCAACCCAAAAGAACTAAAAAAAAATTTAACAGAAAGACTAATAATTTTTAAGAAAATCCTCTGATGATGTATTTTCTTCATATGTCTAATGAATCAACTGGATCTCTCTTTGCCGAAGCACCTATTTTTATTGCTCTTATCTATCTATTCTACGTAAGATATTTCCAGCTCTTCTGGACACTCTGAAGGACATTGGATTAGTTCCAAAATTCTGATCACCTAGTCCATGTCTGTAGTGTTTATGGAACTGGAGATGCGCAAATCGAACCAAGTTTTACTACTGGAATTGCCTTAACGAACTGGAAAGTTACCCCGATGCTTCTGGTCAACATATTCCTCCACCCTGCCGTCATCCAATGCTTCCATCACCACGTCACATAGAACAACCACGTCATCTTCCATGTATTCTACTGGTCTCTTCCCCGTCAACACCCTAAGAGTCAAGATCCCAAATCTATGAACATCACATTTATCGGTTATCCTCACAGTTTGACTTGCAAATTCCGGAGTGTGTACCCAAGTGCATTCTGAATCTTGTTGCTTAAGATATAACAGTCTAATGCAGGCAAAAGCCGATCCAGGCCAAAATCTCCCACCTTGGGATCTCCAGAATTGTCCATCAAAACATAGGCACTTAGATGTTATAGTAAATAATGCTCACAGGTGCAGATGAGCAAAGCCTTCAGCACTACCTAGTATTATTTTGAATATTTGTTGCCATGTGAGGCATCCACATCCACTAGTCTCTCCTTCGTGGAGATGTTTATACAAACTTCCTCCACAGATACATCTGTAAACACGAGGTTCTGTAGAGATGAAGTCCAGTCATACCCCTCGAGCACCACCAGATTCTGCGTTCTGATCTTTCCTAGTTTCTTAACATCCGTTCAAAATCTGGTCGGAACATAAACAAGCTCGACATGTTAAAAGCTTGCTGATCACTAAAGTTTTGTTCTGTGAACGGCTTCAAAACCACCACATCCAAGTACATAATTTTTATTGAGAAGTGCTTTGGTCCCTCCTAAAATCTCAGCATCACCAGAAACATGATGAGCTTGAAATAGCTAGCTTCAGTATCATAAGAAGGGTTAAAATCATCGCTTATTGATAAATTAAGGGTCACAGCAGATTGTGTTTTGGAATTGCAGACAAATATTCAGAATAGAGACAGTCAATACACCAGGGGCAATGAAAACAGCAGCACCAATGGTAATTAAGGAAGATATACTGAGTATCACTCTCTTATGACGGAGATGTGAAGATAGAGAACCATGAGTGGTTCACTCAAACAGGTGAATTGGGGCTTAGGAAAAGGGGTTTGGGTTTGACAGCAGGGCATGATTGCTTGACAAAGAACCACAAAGGGACAGATTACCAATGACGGGCAATGGATTGAGTCGAAGAAGCCACCGCCTGGAAGTTCACCTTGGAGATGAATGTAGGAAATATTGAAGGTAATAAGGTGGGAAAGATCAGCAATTTCTTTCGGTGAACTTCTGGTGAAGCGACTGAAGGACAAATCGATTACCTGAAGGTTGGATAAGCCTGCAATGCCGCAGGGACTGAAACAGTAATGTTGTTATGAGACAAGATCCTACATGAGAGAAACAAATGGGTACATTTTTTATTATCTTTTATAACTATATACAAAGACCTTCAGATGAACAGTAATGTTGTTATGAGACAAGATCCTACATGAGAGAAACAAATGGGTACATTTTTTATTATCTTTTATAACTATATACAAAGAGCTTCAGATGAATAGCAGACCATCATCAAATCCATAAATCTACAGTCACCACGAAACAGAAAATTTCAAGTGATGGGGAACTCACAAAGAGGTAAGAGATGAGCAGTTCCTTATATCTGCTGTCAGGAAGGAAATAGCTCTTGAGTCTTAATTCCTGCAATGGAACTGCTCTTCCTATTTCAAAGGGGATGCTTCCATTTAACTGACTCTGACTAAGATTAAGGACGAGAGTGTTGTTCAATTCACCTACATTTGCAGGGACGAGACCAACTAAAGAGTTCCTGGAAATATTCAAGAACTGCAAACTGATGAAATTCCTAATGGAAGATGAAATTTCACCACATAACGCATTGGACGACAAATCCAAGTCTTGAAGAGATTGATAGGATGCTGACAGATGCTTCCAGTATATCTGTCTTTAGAAATGGAGATGCGCTCCAAAGCCAACTTAAAAACCCACGAAGAAAGATTGTGAACAAATTTTGGCCAACATCAAGTACCTTAAGGTTTATGCAATTCACAGGAGACTCTGGTAAGCTTCCTACAAACTGATTTTTCGACAATTGAAGATTTCCTATGGAGCCCCGTATCTCACCAGTAAAGTTATTGTTCGAAAGGTCAAGAACTCCAGGCTTATCATAGCTGCAATCCAGCCAGGAATTCCTAGTTACCGAATTGCCACTCACATCAAGATATCTGCAATTCACGAGCTTATGCATAGACATAGGAAGCCACCCACTGAAATAATTGTCACCAATAGCCTTCAACAGTAAGAAAATTCCAATATATTCAGGCAGGCAGCCTATAAACTTGTTCTTCTGCAAACTAATTGCTCTCAAATTATACGAACTCTCAATTCCTTATAGAATCTCACCCTTGAATAGGTTATCCAATAAATCAAGTGATTGAAGTAAACTCAATGACCATAATCCACAGGGCAACCGACCTGAGAGCTGATTGTATTAAATGTTAATTCTTTTCGATGATGAGCAGGAGCTCAGCGACTCCGGTAATAAACCAGTGAGCTTTTTTTTGCTAGCAAAATCGACCTTAAAGACCTATATTGTTCGAAAAGCTCATCCAGTACTCCCTGATAAATTATTTTCATTCAAGTCAATTATTTTCAAGCTCCCAATTTCAGCAAGAAATGGATTTATAGCCTCTGTGAAGTTGTTCTTTGACAGTGACAGTACTTTTAAGGAACTGTAATCTTATTAGGCTTCATCTGAGGTGCCCAAACAAAGAAAAGTCATCAAGGACCAGCTCGGATACTCAATTGGACTTATTAGGACCATATTTTACTCAAACCCAATTGCAGGGAGTTTTGATCATCTTTATTCCAAGATTTAAAACCCTAGATTGTGGGTCTTAGCCCAGCTTTGCAGGCAATCAAACCCAACATGTCATCATTGAAAACAGTAAACATTCAACAAGAATTGGAACTACAAGTAGTCAATACATGCAGTAGTATCTTGATTTCACTCTATTTTTGCTCTTAATTGATACATACAGTCCTAGAATCTCAGTAAAGATTAAATCCGTCTTTTTGTTAGTAATCATCATCGATCCAAAGGAATAAGGGCTAAACTACGGGTTAAACTCAACCAGATCACTTCATTGTCTTTCTATAAAATGTCTGTTCACCACTGAAAAAGGTCTTCTCGTATCATATACATAAAAAAGGTAAATGCCAGGCAATGTCCCCTCACTGCAATTAACGCTTTTCAATAGGGTATTAAACTGTAAAGAACAATATCCATTCACAGCAAGTCCCTTGGTATTCAATTCGATCCTTTGCCCCCATTGTCGAAAAGTATTTAGAACGCTTATCAGCTATCACAGAGAGGGAAATATTGATTCAATTGACTGGATTTCAACCTTTCTGGTAGTGATTTAAAAAGGAAAGAAGAGAAAGTAAGATCTGGTGCCTCTACTTGCCAAATCTTTGGATCAGACAGATAAATCCCCATATAGAATCTTTGAAATGTCCCAGATAACACAGAGAGAAAGCTGACTTATGTTTTGTTGGACATCTTGATGCCAGTAACGAAAGAGTATGGTGAAGCACCTAAACGTCAATCGAGTTCTTCTTCTTCTTCATTAATATATACTACTATCCAATTCACCTTCTAAAACAATACTACTTTCAAGGACATTGGCAAAATATGGTTGCACGTGAACTTTATAGCATGTCAAATGCTTGATCAATGGAAGAGAATTACATGGCCCAACAAAAATTTGAAACACAAAACAATAATTTAATATATCATAATACACATCACATCCAAGGAAAATTTCCCAAAACACGGAGTCTATAAACATCTGTCACAATTTACAAATACATAAATTATAACCTAGATTACCATGTGAAAGAAATTGAAATATGAAAATGTTCCATGCTTGACATCTGGTCAGAAAACATCAGCCTTAACCAAATAAACGCTGGCAGTGCGGTGTGTATAAATTTTCTTTCTCCAAATGCCATCTTAACCAACAAACTACCATTCCCTATTATCAGATATTGCTATGAGGCATATGTTGAGGTACCTCTCCTTGATTATCCAATGGCATATACTGTGCCATGATAGCCCGAATCTCCGAGTCCATGTATCTCTGCATGTGAATCTTTTATTACAAGAAAGTCCCAGAAAAGGGGGAAAAAAACAAGTGAACATAAACAGAACCAACATCCCACCAGAGCATTTACATGATAAGCAAATGAACATGAAGACACTACTAAACATTTTTTCATGCCCTTAGACCTTCTCATCCCATTTTCAGAAATTTCACCACCCTTTCTCGCATTTCCACCACCATTCAGTGCTACACCTTGTTTAACAAATTCAATTACGGCCATTATACATACTACCACCCCCCCCCCCAAAAAAAAAAAAAAAAAAAAAAACCCCCCCCCCCCCCCAAAAAAAAAAAAACATAAACCAATGAATGAGCATATTCAATTAGATGAATATTACATCACTGTTAGTCTACTATTGTCTAACTCACTCGTTTTGGGTACTCATTCTGCAGAGTCCAGTTCCAGATTACCCTTAATCTACGTGCATATCAATTCAGTCTAGTTGTTTGAATGCTTGTAAAAGAGTATAAAATTAAAATAAAGCTAACATACCCTGATCCTGTACTTGTACAGAGCATAACCCGATACTCCCGCAACAGCCAGGCCGAGAATGATTGCCCAAACAAAGCCCCAGCTGAATTCCGTATTAGCATCCTTACCTGCATAGATCAGGAGATGGTAAATCAAGCACTGTAGAAATTTATGTTAGCATGCAACTACATTAGCTACAAATTTGTTGACATAGCAGCAATTCCAGAATTCAAATACGAACTTCATTCCTATATTCCAACATCTTAACCATGTAGTGCTAACCATCTACTCACGTCTGGATAGATAAATAATACTCAAGTACTGCACAAGATGACACACAAGTTGGACAAAATCTGCCTTCCGACATCTTCAATACTCGCTGCATATTAAATAGGAAAACTTTTCATACTTACTTATACACGTGTCATGTTCATGCATGTACAATAAGTTGCCACTGCAACTGCATTCATAACTGCCCCACGTATTCTTGCATTTGCACTCTGGACATTGGCATGCCAGTTTTTCCTTACACTCGTCAATATCTAAAATGATGCCAAGATAAATAAATCTAAAATCAATCACCCATAAAATATGCAGTGGCAGACGAATCTATTATGTTCATATGATCCATAGAGAAATAAAGATGCGTACCTTCACAATTTTTAACTCCATCACCCTTGAATCCTGGAGGGCACTTGCAACCTTTAGTATGGTCATCCTGAAGAACAAGATTGAATCAATATTCAGCATAGAAGAATCAGAATTTTGCACATGGTCAAACAAGAGAGAGAGAGAGAGAGTAACAAGAGAAGAATAAAATTCATCTTATACGAAAATGTGAGAGAAGGAAACAAATGTACTACAAGGAACCATCCAACTTACAATGCATGCAGAATATGTCCTTCCATCCTGGGTTCCTCTCCAACAGCCTCCATAATTTATTTCACATCTTAATACGCCAGAAGCTGTCACAGCCAGAAGACAGGAAAATGTGATGAATAAGATACTGACCATCTGGAACAGAAAGCCGAAGACCAGGCTTGTGTTAAATGTTTTATGTCTGGAAACTATTAATCACAGGAGTACAAACGGCTTATGAGAAGTCTGATACATCTATTGTCCCAAAGAAAGAAATATATACCGTTGTCAATAACCCCAGAGCCTATGGTAACACAGTACCACTTTATCCTAATATAATGAATTTTGAAAACAACTGTAGAAGGATAACCACATAAAAGAAGGGAGCCACTTCCAGACAATTCATTGTGTTATCATAACAGAATGAATAAGGAAAAAGAGTTGCTATATAGGAATGGTTGGGTAATGGGACTACACCAACCCTCCTAAATAAAGAGGGGAAATAGGAAAAGTATAATCCAATAGAGCAGTAGGAATGTTCACCTTCACAATGAGTATAACCATCACCAACAAATTTCACCCCCTGCACAACTGGGCATTCACACAATCTCCCACGGAACGTATCCTGTAATGAATTCTTAAGAACATCAGAATAGATGTAGCAGCGAAAAATGCCAAAATAACAATTAGAAGTGTAGTGTACCCTGCACGCTGTAATATTGGCAGCCTTATCCTGCCAGCATCCCCCATTATTTTCCTTACACTCATTGGTTTCTATATCTGCAAAAAGAACGTCAACAGCCACTTGAGGATTTTGTATCAACTACACATACATGTGCTGGAAATGGTTGTGATTTCTAGAACGCTGTGGATCAAGTCTCACAATAACACAATGGCTAGAATAATTCAACATATTACTTCTTTGTTTACAACATTATAAGAATAATTATGTATAAATTAGAGATGGATAGTAGAATCAATCACCTTCAGTCAAACAAATAGCTGGCTCCGTGGCCTCCTCAAAACCTGAACATATGGCCTTGAGAACTGCTCCTTTGTCCAGCTTGCCTGATTCATTTTAAGAAACAACTTTCTTTTTCCATATAAATTGTGATAAATAAATTCAACTGTTGTTAAGGTTCTAGGAGTTATCTACCTCTGTACTGCCTGCTGTTTATAACAAGGGTAGGCAAGATCGTCACATCTCCACGAGAACCCTTCCCCATCTGAAAATAAATTACTTATTCAGTTAACAACTTTCACAGCCATTGCTAACAATGAAAGGGTCTTATAAGACACAAAACCTGTGATTCCTGTTCAGCTTTTAGAACTGGGTTGTCTGTATCCGCCTCAGTGTCTCCTATGCATTTGTCTATCTTGTTAACATCGAGACCTGCATAAAAGTCATTTTGATAAATATTGATTAGTCAATGAGCAAGTATCCATAAATGCTAGCATTTGTCAAGACGGTAAAGAATCATGTGAAGAACGTAAATGGTAGAAAATAGAAAATCCTAATTCCCATCCAGGAGTCAATAATTAGGCACCCAAGGATCCAAGTACATCTAGAAGCACTAATTCAAGGTTCCATCCATATAAAGCCTTTGGTAACATAAAGCTTTAGGTCATATCAGTTACAAAACTAACATTTGGACCAAATGAAAATTTAATGCAGTATTAACGTGTTTTATACAATCAAAATCCAAGGAAAACAATATTATCCATTCCACAATGATACAACTCATTACGAGATACAGCAGACATTTGGATCAAACTAAAATTTGAGGGTGATAAATACACAGTAATCAACATAATTTAAAGAACTACTACCATATTGGGAATAAGTATAGGAGAAGACTATCACTGCAATAGTAAACAAGTAACAGCTTAATCAAGTTCGTGACTGTTAAATCACTAAGCCTTAATCCACATTATCATCTAACAAAGTTAACTAACTAATGCACATATAAGAACAAAAGATGTGATTTTCATTCTCAAAAAAGTTAAAATTATAAAAAAGAATATGTGACAAATGACAAACACTCCATATAATAAGAATCAAACAGCAGAGTTAATGTTGGTATCAGTTACAGGATAGAGGACTTTGGTCTCATCGACATCATCTATAAAATCGAAATGAATATTCACGGAAACACACAGTGTACTGCATATTTTTAATTTTTTGTTAACTAAAACATTGATAGAACAGAACTGTAACATACCAAGTGAACGGATTACGTCATTGGCACAATCTTTAGTGTACTTCTTCTCTTTCATTGGACAACGGATAGCAAAATCAGTCACATAATCCCACCAAAGCCATGGTTTTCCACTTTCATTGGCTATCTTAAAAAAGCAAACTTGGCGTAGATTTTGCACCACCACATCCTTCCCATCATATCCCTTACTGAAATCCTGCTCAGGATCCGGAGCACAATATCTCCCATGGTTTATACACTGCGACTTGCACTGTTTGCTCAAAATAAAAGCATCAGGACAATACCAAGTTATATAATGTGGAGTGAACTGGGTATAGCCTTTCCGCTCAAGTATCTGGGCTGCTCCTTTGAAATTTTTGACAAACTGTATCTGGCTTTCGCATTTGGGGCCACACTCGTCATTACTATTTGTCCAGAACTCGTACTCAACCCGCTCATCAGGATGTGGAAGAGCCTCTCTCCAGTCAAGATTTATATTGACCATTTGTCCATTAGACAACTCTTTTTTGATGTTGTCCCCTAGAGCCTTGCTAATAAGTGCTGATGGAATAGTTATGTTTTGTAGATAATCTGCTCGTGCATTCTCCTCCTCAGGGGTATCCATAGTAATAAGAGGCTCAACCCTGTCATCTGCAACAAGAATAGCGGCTGCTCCAGCATTCTGAGCATTCCATGCCTTCAATGTGAAGTAGCAATCTGCGAAACCAGCAAATAACGATGGCATTGTTCAATATGTAGATGACGATAGTAAATTGCTTCAGTAGTTATCAAATTCACACCTAAGCAAAAAATTACATATGAAGAGATAGTTTACAGTTGTACATGTATTAATGTGTGTGATTCGGATGACACAGAATGGAAGGCCAGCACTATGGTAATGTAAATACCAATATTGAACAAGCCATAAGTGAAGGCGGAGAAGAATACAATGGATTTATGCAAAGTAATTAACAATATTAAGCTATAGAAGAACAAATGACAATCAACTTCAAAATTTTCTTCTAAAACCAGATGTAAAGGGTCAACATTTAAGCTGTGGGTTTACTCCTCGACAATTCCATATAAAACCAAAATTGGTGTTTCCAATAAAACAATAACTTCAAGATCAAAGTAGACAAATTAATTAGCTACATCAAATCCAGATTACTGTTTGCATGTTACAATACGTTTAAAGTGATGATAATTAGTGAAGTACAAGACCAGTACAAGGTCATTTTTTTCCTTCTCTTCCCAATCAAGTTAACACCCATGAAATTATGCAACCAACAATCAAGTTAACTAGGAATCAATGCTGCAAAAAGAACATTATCAATTTCCTCCTACAAACATGAAAATTCGAACTTATAATAACATTTCCAATTGACAGGGGCAAATTCAAAAAACTTTACCCCCTCGATCAGCTAGAACAAATATGGGCATGCCTCCAGGCTTAATCTTGAAGGAAATTTCAACATCTTCAAAACTCTTGCACGCCTTCTGATTAGCTTTTGGGTAGAGGACTGTACCAACCATGGTCCCTCCATACTGTGGCACCCCAAAATTCCCAATTGCACATTCATACACATCTTTCAGTGAGCCTGGTGATGTCACCCTCAAGCTGTTCTTTTCAACAACAAATCTTCCCAAACAAGATCCATATAGAAGAAACCATAAGCACACTAATAACCCAACCTTTTCCCTCATCTTTCACTCTCTCACTTCCCTTCAATCAACAAAGAACGAAAAAAAAAAATGACTCGTCCCAGGTCAGAATCTACCAAATCCCTTCTTTCACGAAGACCCACTTGCCAAACTCTAACTTTATATCAATATAAAACAAATCAGATCCAAAATCTCAAAACCCAGATCATGAAAATTTCATATTGATAAAAATATCAACTTTTTATTGGAAATTCTCTATGATATATGAGCTGATCATTTTATAAAGAGAAAACTAAGGAAATATGAGGGTTTGGACAAACAAAATAGGAGAAACAACAAAAGCCGAGTAGAAACGTTGAATTGAAGAAAAATAATGGTCACTACGTTCACCCTCGATCACTCAACTATTCTACATATGTGAATAAACTATAATACAATCATATCTGTAGCATTCAAGTTGCGTATTTGTATTATAATTATAAGTAATCAGTTAATAAATCTAAACGGACATGAGATCAAGTCTTACCCCGCAAACATTAATTAACAAACAAACCGAGGAAAAGGATAATTTCTTTATTAGCCCCAATCTTTGGCTCTATTAACAAATTGATCATCAATGTTTGAAAAAAAGCAAGTTGGTCTCAATATCTGATTATATTGTAAAATCTGACTTAATTTCAAATTTCTAAACATCATTACAAGTTGAGAAGTAAATCTCTACGGAGTTAAACATAAGAGATACGGGTAACTAATATAGAGGGACAAGATATGCCAAATATAATAAAATTTTAGGACTAGCTTTTCCTTTTTAAAAGTTAAAAATCAACTTGTTATTGGAATAATTGTTGAGGACGAATGGTGAAATTTTGCCTAGGGCACAAATAAATATGCCCTTGGTCTTTACCCGTTTCTTGAGAAATTTTTTGTATTTTTCTGTGTTGAAGAAAAGGTACGGTTGTAATACGTCTGACGAAAGTGGTCCCCGGTGATATACGGCCTAGATTAACTGCCTCTTAATTAGGTCGTGATTACTTGGGCCTAATGGGCTTTTCGATTTTGTCAATGATATTTGCATGAACGCCACGTGCATCAACCTTTAATTTATTTAGACTCCATTTTGTACATGTAAAAATAGAATGAAAAATATAATTATTATAGACCCTAGATAAGAGATAGAAAGTCAAATATAGTAACTTGATATGATGGATATCAATTATATTTTTCATTTTAATGTGCAAATAATGGAAAATAAACTGGAGCTTAACTATCGAGTCTATTGATTTCGGTCCCACTACAATTGTGGTAGGTAACGAAACCTCTTGTTCGATATCCAACTTAAATTTTAGCTACACATTTTATTTAATTAATATTTTTTAACTGTTTAATTACATTACATCAACTTTTAATAAAATTTTATTAAAAACTTTATCAAACAGCTCTTCATATCTAAAATACTTAAAAGTAACTTGTTAATGCTATTTACCTCGTGTTTATGTACAATGTATCCACACCTACCAATTAGCATTTATTTTAATACTTTAGGTTGTGAAAAACGTGGAAAATGTCAGTTTCTGGGCCATTGTCCCATTTTGTGGTAGAAAATGATCTTTCCTGCATATTTTAAAATATCTTTCTTTCATGAGTCAATATAGTTATCTCAATTTTATTAGTTATCTATATTATACTCGTTATCAAAGATAGGATAGAGAATAATTAGTTCACTTTGAAAGATACTTATCGACTTGGAAAATGGAAAAAATTGTACAAATTATATGTTTCATTATCGCTTTATGAAAAAGAGTTAGATATTATGTGAAATCAACCAAGACAAGCACGCTGCAATCAACAGGTAATCCTATATCTGATAGTTCATTGTACAAGTTGTTTTCACTTTAATATTAAAATAATAATTGACTTATTTCAACTTTAATTCATAAAGGATTATTTAATGTTTAATGATACAAAATTTATGGATCTAAGTTCATTTATGAACTGCATTAAATGTTTTTTTTTTTGTTTTTTTAATGGGGTAAATTGTCATAATTTTTATGCAGGTGATTAATGTTAAAAAAAAAAAAAAAGAACTGAATTTTTGGTTAAAATAATGTAGTAGAAATCATGTTAGGGAATGAATACCAATAATATGTAAAGCATAAATTTAGCTTAGGCCGACCTAAGTATGGGCCACTTTTATAATGGGCTTATGTCAAATAGAGCCCTCGGTCCGCAATGAAAATGAGCCCAAGCTCAAAATACTTCACTTGGAAAGCCCAATACCATCCGATATTGGTATGACAAGTGAAAATTACATACAACCAGAGTTTTAAACTTCCCAGTTCAAAACTAAGATTTCCAATTTTTTTTTTTCAAAAATCAAATAAATGAATTTATAAACATTAATAATAATATTATGAAATTAAACAAATCCACCCTACCCTACTCCATTCCACCCTCAACTTCAACCCTAACCCCAATCTAGGCCTTGTTTGAGCTCCATTATTTTTTCATTAAAATAAAAAATATGATTATTATCTATCACATCAAGTCACCATATTTGACTTTTTATCTTTTATGTGAAGTCCATAAAGACTATATTTTTCATTCTTATTTTTACAATAATGTGGCTCAAATGGGGGCCTAATTTCTTTCCAAACCCTAAAAATCTTTTTCACTCTCTTCTCCATCTCTGTATCTTCTCTCTTCTCACTTTCTCTACCCCACCCCTCACGGTGTCATCGCGCTTGACAGTACCTCGTTGCATTCGGCTCTTTTAATGCACCGGTGCGCATAGCGATTCATCGTCCTCTATGGTGTTGCAGTTTTTTGATTTTTTTATTAGATCTATTTATTTTGAGTTTTTTTGTGATGGTTGGTATTTTGCAAATGGTGGTGGTGTTTGTGTAGGTGGCAGTTGGTGGTTGTGGTCGTCACGGTGGTGCGAGCGATGGTGTTGCAGCCCCGAGTCTTGGGTTGGTGTTGTTGCAATGGTTGTAGTTTTCAATCTGCTTCCGTCGTGGTGGTTTTCAACGGTGGTGTTGTTTGTCATCATCTTTGTTGTGTTGGCGATGGGGTGAGGTTTTTTATCTATTGGTTGTTATCTCGTCATACAGTGATTGTTATTGTCGCTGCCATTACGACTCTGACTTTGAATCCATTTTGATGTGGTTGTCGCCGTCGTTGGTGTTGCAGTGATGGTGAAGTGTTGGTGGTGGTTGGTGGATCGGTGGGTGTTGGTTTGTTTGAGATGGCGATTTTGCTGTCGATTGTCGTAAAGTGGTGTTGGTTTTAGCAACAATGCTTCCGGAGGCAATAATGAGATGGTGGTCACAAATTATTTGGTTAATTGTAATCGATAAATTGGTTAATATATGACCAATAACTAATATGTGACCAATAATTTGATAATTTATAATCGTGTAATAAGTTTTGACGTATAAAATTTGTTATTTATGACAAAGAAATAATATATGATCTATTAATTTGATATTCAATAACGAAGTTGTGACTTATAAAATTTATGATTTTTGACCGTGACATCTATCATTGCGACTAATACATAAAGGTGATCATAAATTATATAATATTGTGGTATTAATATATTTAATTAATAAAATATTTTTTAAATGAATTATTACATAAATAAAATCTATTTAATATTTGATTTTTGAAATAATAAAATCGCTTTCTTAGATTTAAAATGGATTATACTTAATGTCAGACTTATTATGCCATTGTTTAAAAAATGTGTAGTTAAAAAATAAGGAAAAGTTTTGGATTTACGTGTAATATTATTTTATTGAAAAATGTGTGATTGAAATGATATTAAATCACATTGACGAATGTATTTTTCCAAAAACATGTGGTTCAAACAAGTCTTATATGTTCCGGTAGAATAATTGTCTGAGTGATCATTATCAACTCCATGAAAGAGGCCTAGCAGGGGCCCACATTAACTGGCACTACAAAATGAAATCTGCGATCAAATGGTTGTCATGATGAGAAAATCAGCATGTAACACAAGGATTCAAATCTAGAGGAACATGCTCAATAGCCAAATTAGGCACCTGACGACCACTATATAATTAGTCAATAATCAATCTTACTCATAACTTTTCAACAACACATTTTATTAACTTTTATTAAAATTTACTAAAAATTGATTTTAATCACGCTAACCAGAGACTTATTCTATAAATATTATCTCACCATTCCCATATAATGGAGCTTCGATTTGAGTATTAGAGTGTCTACGTCAAAAACCCTTTCTGTTGTGCTTAGTGGTGGCAATGGACCGAACCGGCTCGGCCCTTAACCTCACGAGCTCGACTCGCGCTCGTGGCGAGCCT